TAATAAAATTAATTTTATTATATATAAAATAGTACAAGAAACTTTAACGATCTCAGGATCCTGTAATTGGATTTTAGTGATTTTAGACTCATTCGAATCGTCTTATCAAGACGAACATTTTGACAGTTAAATCATCCAAATCGGACCAGCAGATCAAAAGTTATTTAATATTAAAGATTTATTAATATATATATATAATTTATATATTATATTTTATTATATTTGATTATATACTATATTATATATATATATATGTACGTGATCTCTCACCTAACTATATATCCATGGTATAAATCACATAATTTCTGGCACTCCCCTTACCTTATAAGTTACTTTTTTCAACAACTAAACTTATGAAAAAATCAACTGAAAATAACTATAAATTTGACGTTTCAACATAAATTTCGTTTAAATTGATTTTGTAAAATTTAAATTGAAAATCAGCCAGATCGTAACAATTTTTGTACTTATGGCTATTATGAATTCAAGATCGCTAAATATATGATGACATCGTACTCACAATGAATCTAATTCAACTATAAAAAAAAGAATCATACTTTTACAATTATATATGATCATAAGCTCATAAATTAGAACACAAGCAACATAAATGTCTTCCCATTACTTAGCCTTTTGCACTTACTTTACAACTTCAATATAACAAACAATATAAAGTTATGAATTCTATCATAAACAACCAAACGCCCACCCACTACACAATACCTTACAACTATTCTCTCAAAAGGCAGTTTCAAAAATCATAGTACCATGATTTACATATAGTGCATTGACACTTTTTTTTTTTTTTTGACTCCGGTTCTAATATTTCATCTTGATTACTTGAACAAATATGTTTGTTATTATGATTCTCAATTGCAGATAAATATCTTTTGCCAGCAGAATGTCCCTTGTCTTTATATTAAAAAGGATTGGTGATTTTAAAACCATCGACTCTTTGATCTGACCCTTGCTCTGACTCTTGCTCTGACAACTTCTGTATATTATTTCTATCTTATAATAAAACCTGATCACCAATAAATTGTTGTAGGAGGTTTTTAAAAGCCTTATTTGTACCATTTGTAATCACTAGATCTAATACCTTTTTACAAAGCCTGAGACCATGACCATAAGAAACCTTCTTTGAATCTAATTTCACAGCAATTTTATTATCAACATCTTGTCTGTGAATCTTCTCTAATGTTTGAAACATTCTAATAAAAATCTGACTATCTTCATTTCGCACCACCTGAATAGATGATTCTTGATTTTCATCTAATATTGCAAGACTTTCTTCTAAATACCAACAAGAAGGTATCAATTTAATATTGAAAAGTGCTTTTTCTGATTGAATCAACACTGCAAAAAAATGCCAACAAACGAATTCAGCATAAATTAAATAGAGATATGTGCAATAGTGAGTACTATCATCAAATAATAAGTCAAATTGTGAATAATTTGTTGTATTTTAAATATGTCTAACTTTCCAGATTTCATCTACATTGCTTTCAAAACAATCCTCTAGTGCTATATCTAATAAAATCTGTGGTTCCTCATTATTATCCTCAATAAATCTCGCATTATTATAATTTGATATCTAACAAAGTAATATATATGTATGTATATACGTACACCCTTTAGTAATATAGAGATGTGATACTAAACTATCATATGAGAACAATTAGTAACATGTGTATTCAAATCATATATTAAATACTAATTGTTTTTATGTGATAACATAGCACAACATTACCATACTCAACCTTCTTCTTAGTTATATGATTTAACCAGAATAAAAATTTAAAAAAGCACTTGCCTTATTTGTGCCAATACCAATTTCTTTGTTTTGTAATAACAATCTATATAAAAAACTTTCCAATATTTGTTTTCACTGTAAAGCCAAAGAATTTGGTGTAAGATATTTCTTACATATGTTATCAATGTCTTTAAAAATCATATTAGACACATGAGGAAGACCAGTAGTTGGGTTCATATTCCGAAATTCTTGAAACCTTACATATCTAACCTTATCTTTTAACTACAATTCGATTTTGGACTAAAGCTAGCATAAAAAATTTTCTAAATTCACTTCTAATTTATAACCCAATTTATGCCTTCGACGTGCTGTATTGAGTGAGTATTTTCTAAAAAACACTGTTTTGTAAATACGTGTACCTAATATTCTTTAGTTGGGTACAATACTCTATTGCAATATATTTGAACTTCTGAATACTTGTTCATCAATTTTATCTAATAGCTATCAAAATCTGATATTCTAAGTAAGTTTTGCAGTGTATAAAAATCAGACATAAATATATCCTATTTGTTGGAAAGTTTTTTCTTGATTTTTTTAACTAAATTTTGCTATATATAGAATATACAGTGCTGAATGTTAGTATTAGGATACTTATTGAATATAGCAACTTGTATAGCTGGATCTGCATCTGTAAAAATAGCTTTTGTTTGAAGGTTGTTTGTAGCTAATAATGTTTGATCCAGAATCTATTCATAAGATAATATTGTTTCATCACTAACTACGGCTATTGCTGCAATATGGCTTTTTTGGTTTGAATCTATTATAATAAAGACACTTAAGGGCATCATATATTTGTTTGTTTTATATATGTTATTATTAATAACGATATCATGATATCGAGTTTATAGACTTTTTTAATTAGGCGACATCCAGAAAATTCTAGTAAGCCTATTATCAACATCCTCAAAGTCGACTTTGAAGTACCGGTCAGGATTCTCTTGTTGTAAATTTAGTAAATTTTTATATAAAGTAATTGCATTATTTTTGATCTGAGCATCAGTTTTGTACTTATTGATAATGTTATAAAGATTTTAACTATATATTTCCTGGTCAGGAAACTTATTTCTTAAAATTCTTTTTAAAACAGTTGCCTCCAATTGATATTCCTGAACATAAAAATAAATTTCTTTCTTAATATTAGAAGGTATTTTACGTGTTGATGATGAAAACTGCTAAACCAATTCGCTATTATTCAATTCATGACTATAGCTTTTAATTAATTTATTAATATAAACAAGGTTCATATATTTCTGATATGAAGCATTAAGTATAAATTCGCATTCTATATAACCTGATTCACGTTCTCATTATTGCGTAGGGTCTAATTTTTTTTTGAGCAAATATTTTCTACTGTGCTGACATTTATATATTTTGCATGCCCAAACACCATACTCTTTTTCAGATCGCACTATTTTTGTCTCAAAACCTATCTGAGTAGAATAATATTTTAAGCATTGCTTGAGTATATCAAAGAAAGTAAAAGTCTGCCTACTATAAATTTCTTTTAGTGAACTGTCTTCAGGTCTATCATCAAAATCACTACCTTCAGAAATACTATTATCAACAGCTTTAATTAATAGTAAGCTTGTTGTCGAAGGATCAGTAAGTGAAACTAAATTATTATTAACAGCTTCAATTAATGGTAAGCTTGTTGTCAAAGAATCAGTGAGTGAAACTAAATTACTATAATCTTCTAAATAAGGTTCAAGTAGCAAGCTTGTTATTGAAAGATCAGAAAGTGAACCTAAATTACTATCATTTTCTGAATAAAATTCATCTACAAGAAAGTCTTCAATATAGTCTTCATAATTTCGAATGTTAGTCATCTTAAAAACTAAAAATTAGCAATTTTAAAATAGAG